TGCTTTGTTTTTCTGGATGGGACATAAGTTCTCAGCAGTTGTGAAGAACGGTTACTATAGCAGTGTGGAGCGAGACAAGGTGTAGCTCAGCAAAGGGGCTGCACCTGTTGCTAGGCAGTGCTAAGGAGAGACACTTGACTGAGTAGCTAAATTCCTCTGCTCTTTAAGAGAAAGTGGAAAATTACTCCCTTCTAATTTGTAAGAGATCAAATGGGAGACCAGAGACCCTGCGTGGCATGGGGGTGTCCTTGTGGGCACAGTATTTCTTTCAACTTTTGCTCTGTGGGCGAGGAGAGAGGCAAAGTTAGGGGAAGGAGTAAAAATGGGAATAATGAATATTTCCTCTGCTGGGAGCAGTCCGGGAAGGATACTCCTATAGCGCATTAGAGCATGAAAGCCAGGGTAAGATAAGGAAAGCTGCTCTCAGAGGCTTTGTGAGGGAAACCAGGCCTAATGTTCCAGAGAGGGACCAGCCTAGGAGGGGTCTGGGTTTAAAAGAAGAATTCAGGGTATGTTAGAAAGAGACTCTAAACAGAGACTCAGAAACAATGGATCTCAATAGCCCAGGGTTTGATAAACTCCAAAACATAAATTTACTTAGGAAAGCCCTCCCTATTTGATAAGAACTTCTGGGAAAACTGGAAAGCAGACTGGCAAGGATTAAGCTTTCACCAACATCTTAAAATGTATTTCACAATCAACTTAAAATCAACTAAAAAAACTTTAAAATATTAAAGACCATATAAAGACAAATTAGAAGAGAAACAGATCATAGACATCTCACAGCTATGGGTAAGAGATGTATTCTTAACCCAGTAAAGGACAGTTAATTGCAAAAGATAAAATAGATACTTTTGATTAATGAAATTGAAAACTTCTACACAAACAAAATTAATTTAGGTTAAGAAGGGAAGCAGTCAAATGGGAAGAAAATCTTTTATCAGATTTTTCAGATAAGAGTTTGGTATCATATATACACATGTATATATTATATGTATATAACATACACACACAAAACCAAAAAACCATTCCCCAACAGATATGAACAGTTCTTAAAAGAATTGCAAACTCTTAAACCTTATAAAAGAATACTCCTAATCATTAGTAGTAAGAGAAATGTAAATCAAAGCAACCCTGAGGTTTTATTTCATACCCAGCAAATGGGCAAAATGACAAAAGATGGCAATAGTTAGTGCTGGAGGATTTGTGGGAAGATAGGGACACTAGTACATTGTTGATAGAGCGATAAATCAATACAACCATTTTGCAAATAAAGTGACTAAAATGTCCATACCCTTTGTTTTACCCAGAGATTATATTTATAGGCATAAAACCCCAAGGAGGTAATTGATAAGATGAAAGTCCCCATATATACCAAAATGTTTATAAAAGAGGTTTTTGTAATAGCAAAGAAATGGAAACAAAGTAGATACTCATTGACTGGGGAATGGCTAAATAAGTTGTGGTGCATATTTTCCCTGTAATATTGTAATCGGTTTTACTAGGTAAGTTCTAACTTCTCTTTATAGTGGTAGCAACTAAATCTTGCGTGATCCTGACTATTGCTTCTTGGTACTTGAATTCTTTTTGGTTGCTTATATATAATATTTTTTCTTTGACCAAGTAGCTCTGGATTTTGGTTATAATATTCCTGGGAGTTTAATTTTTTTTTCAGGAGGTAACTGGTATTAGTATTGGTATTTCTACTTTGCCTTTTTGCTACGAGATGCCTTATATTTTCTTCTAACTTTTTTCCAGTCTTTTAACTTTGTTTTTAACATTTCTTGTTGTCTCATTAAGTCATCGGCTTCTACTTGGTCCATTCTAAGGGCTTTTATCCTCTTGGATCCTTTTCCTTCTTGGGATACTGACTATTGTGTAATTACAGGATCTTAGATAGCTTAGGTTGGGGATCAGCAACCCTTCAGCACTCCCAATACAGTGTGATCTGGGGCAAATTCTGATCATTGCTCCCCCTCCCCCACCAAGTCTTGAGTTCAACCAGTTCCTGACCTGGGTTTGAGTCTGAGCAGTACTCTTGTAAGCTTGTCCCTAGTTGCCAGTTCCAGTAGACTGCTGCTAGAATCAGCCACTATCGACCAGCTGGGATGCTCTGAAAGTTCAGAGTGACAAAACTGTAGGTCCCCCTTTGGTCTTGTATCCCTGCCCTGGTTATTCTGCTGCAGGCTTCAGACTGGGCTGGAGGCTGGAGCTAAGGCTTCACTTTGCTCCTGAGGTTAGAACCGTACAGTTTCTGTTTGCTTCTGAGTTCGTTCTTTGTTCTCACTACTGCTCCTTCTCCCTGAACACCACCCCTGGAGGCAGGTCCCCTATACTCTGGATCCATAAGTAGTGAGTGACAAGGTGCCAGTTGGCACTTATTCACATACCCTATACAAGGTTTTGGTGTCTTGCTATGGGTCTTGTGCCTCTTCTTGCCCTTGGGCACAGTCTCATTCCTCTTGCTGTCACTTGGCACTAGAAGGTTACGTAAAGCTTGCTCTGGCCGGGAGCAATGTTCACTGCGATGCTCACACTCATCCCAGGTAGCCACAAATCCCTCTGTATCCCTATGCCAACCTGAGCTGGAAAATTACAACTGTGATTTTTTTTTCTTGGATTTCCTGGCCAGGACTTGGTTTGGTACATTTTCTAGTTGTAGAATAGTTAGGCTGGAAGAGCTAGGCTATACTTCTTCCTTCTTGGATCTGCTGCTCCAAATTGTGGTACATGAAAGTACTAGAATATTGCCATGTGGTCAGACGTGGTGACTGTGATGAATATAGAGAAACAAGGAGAAGCTGCATGAACTGATGCAAAGTGAAGTAAATGGAGCCAAGAAAACCGTATACTCTGTTACTACAGTTCAGTAAGTGGAAAGGGCAACAACCTTGCGCACAAAGAAATGAAAGTGAACATTGCAGAATTACAAATAGAAAACACAGTTTCAAAGAGAAATAATGAATATATCCCTCCCTCACTCTTCTGCAAAGGGCAGAGAGGTCCAGGGATATGGAACAATGCAGATATTTTCAGACTTCTGATGTATTGAATGATTTTTGGTGATTTTTCTTCTCTTTGTCTTCTTTTTCATTTAAAAGTTTTATGATATATAGGATATTTCTCTAGGAGAGGAGAGGGGAAGGGATACTAAGAGAAATTTAAATAACATAAAAAAAAATCAGTAAAAATGTATTTAAATGTTCTTTAGTGACAACCAATCAACCCCCCCCCAAAAAAAACCCACTAGTATAGTTTATTCTGTGAATAAGATAAGGTTTGGATTAGTTTATAATTAATGATATTTAAGGATTAATTAGGGCAGCTAGGTGGTGTAGTAGATAGAATGCCAGGCCTTGAGTCAGGAAGACCTGAGTTCAAATCCAGTCTTAGACACTTACTAGCTGTGTGACTCTGGGCAAGTCACTTCACCTTGTTTGCCTCAGTTTCCTCATCTGTAAAATGAACTGGAGGAGGAAATGGCAAACCTCTCCAGTATCGCTGCCAAGAAAACCCCAGATGAAGTCACGAGGAGTCGGAAGCAACTGGCCAAAAACAAGGATTAATAAGGGAATTCCCAAGTGTACATTGAAAGACAGAACAAGTGGTAGCTCTCTTCCCAGAGACCCTACAACTTGACCCCAAGATCTAACTCCAAGCTTTCTAACTGTAGACACTGTGATATATGCTACTGGAACTGGAGTTATGAGGGTTGTTGGCTCCAGACTTACTTTCCAGTGGATCTTTAACAAATGATTCAAAATCCATCAGAATGCCTTGAGAGAGTCCTCTATTTTTATTTTTCCTGTTTGTTTTCTTTGCAAACTTGGTATGTAGGGTATACATGTTAAATTTAGCCATATTAAGTATAACAGAAGAGAGAAGAAGGAAGTTCAGACGAGGACATAGATAAGCAAGACAGCATTGCTACTGTTACATTTAATATATGCTTAAAAATAGCTGTAAATAATAGACTCATGCTTTCATATATAACCCGTTTTTTCTGTTCCTTGTGTGTTTATGTTGATATATGTCAAATTCATAATAATTTTTTTTAAAGTATAATGTTTAGTAATTCACTAGTTCAGCTATTTTATTGTTGTTCAGTCCTTTTTCAGTTGTGTCTAACTCTTATGATCCCATTTGGGGTTTTCTTGGCAAAGATACTGGAGTGGTTTGCCATTTCCTTCTCCAGCTCATTTTACAGATGAGGAAACTGAGGCAAACAGAAAAAGTGACTTGCCCAGGATCACACAGCCAGTAAGTGTCTGAGACTGTATCATCTAGCTGCCCTCATATATTTTAATGTAATTCTATTTATTTTAAGAGTAAATGTATACTTATCTAAAAATTCAGTAAACCATACTAATGGTATAAAGTATTCATGTGTAGAACACCTCATTGTGACTTGAACACCGCTATTATTTGGTGACAACTCATTCTAATTGCAGGAAAAGGAATAAATGACCTCTTCATCAAATGAGCTAATGTATGTAAAGCACTTTGCTTAAAGTATTATATAAATGTTACCTAGGTGACTGAAGTAGATCAAAACACCGTGACTTGGAATCAGGAAGACATGAATTCAAATCTTGCCTCAGACACTTATTAGCTACATGACCCTGGGCGAATCACTTGACCTTTGTCTTCCTCAGTCCTCTCATCTATAAAATGGGGATGATAGTAATAGTACCTACCTTCAAGGGTTGTTGTGAGACTAAAAATGAGATAATGTCTGCAATGCCTTTTGTAAACCATAAAGACTATGGAAATGCTAGCTATTATTATTTTGATTGATAGATTTCTAGTGCTAACGTTCATAGGATTATAGGATCATAGGGTAATAGGTTTAAAAGGTCCTTAGAAACCACACAGCCCAACTCCCTCATTTGACAGATGAGGAAACTGAAGCATAGAAAGGTCAAACAACAAAAGATGTTTGTACTTATAAGCTAGAACAGCCATCTGACCCACTTTCTCTTGCCCTTTCACTGTTTCAGACCATGGCTTTGTGGGGTACAGCCCGGAACTGCTACAAAACAACACACTGCCCGACTACAGCCCTGGGGAGTCCTTCTTCACCGTGTTTGGGGTTTTCTTTCCTGCAGCCACAGGTACAGTCATGAGCGTGCCCTCTCCTTCTCTTTCCTGTTGGAGGTGACAGGTGAAGAGAGCTGCCTGGGTCATGAAAGTTTTTCCATTTCAATCCTGCAAAACTTCTCTGATTTCATTGGTATGGGGATTTCCTCCGCTGCTAGCATTGCCTCTCCCCATACCTCCATTCACACCACCGTGGACAGGCAGTCTTCATGAAGTCACATGGACCAAAAACTATACCTTCTGATGGCCAGACCTCCAGCCATGGAATTCTAGAGTTGTGATTCCCAGTGGGGAAAGGGGGAAGAGAGATTGGTGAATTTGGATGGGAAAGAATGACATGTGTAACTGGTTTCCTTTGTAGGCCTATATATTTTATTCTATGCATTGAAAAACATGTTTCTGAGAAGGGGTCCATAGGCTTCACCAGACTGCCAAAGGAGTCCTAGACACAAAAAGAGGTTCTGGACGGTTGGGCCTTGGGTGACTGATATATAGTCCATTCCTAGGTTCATACTCAAAGCTTTTCTAGCTTGAGAAGTGTGGCCTAGTGAATAGATTTAGATAGCACAGTGGATGGAGGGCAGGATTTGGAGTCAGGAAGACCTGAGTTCAAATTCACCTCTGACATTTACCAGTTATATGACTCTGCACAAGGCACCTTTCAGACTCAGTTTCCACATTTGTAAGGTGAGGAAAATTATAGCACTTACCTCCCAGGGTTGTTGTGAGTTTAAAATGAGATAATATTTGTAAAGCACTTTGTAAACCTCAAAGCACTATATAAATGATAATAATAATAATACTATATCCAATTATATATTATAATGATTATATTATGTATCATAATTATAAATATATTAGAATAATTATCATCTGGGTGTGAATCTCACCTCAGACACTTAGTAGTGTCACTTAGTGACCCTGGACAAATCACTTAACCTTTATGGACCTCAGTTTCCTCATTTGTAAAATAGGGGGACTAGATTTGGTGGCTTCTGAGGTCCCTTCTAGCTCTAAATCTATTATTCTGATCTCATGATAGGACCCAGCAGAGCTGGTAAGCTCCTTGAGGTCAAGGACTGTCATTTGCCTCTTTTGGTATCCCAGAGCTTAGCACAGTGCTTGACACATGGTAGGTGCTTGATTAATTGACTAACTGATTGTCTTACATGGAGGCAGCCTCTGAGAACCAAGGGTTACTTTCCTGCCTTGATAAGGCACTAGATAAGGACTTTTGTGGAATACCTGTAGGGCATTTTCCAGAAATTTATGTTCTCATTTCTGCTTTCAGAAGGAGAGTATGGAAGGGGTTGTAAATCTAGCTAAGTGGAGATGTCTGATTCCCAAGACTCAGCATCACCTTTTATCATCCCTTTAGGATTTATATACATTTATATGTATGTCTATGTATCAAGAATCTATGATTTTCATAGGTGTGGGAACTGTTGGTTCTCCCCCACTCCCACCCAGCCCCAACAGACTTTCACAGTCTATAACTTATAGGCTTTTAGAGCTGCTTAAGGTTCAGAGAGGTAAAGAGACTCACCCATGGGTGCCCAGATAGTAAATGTCAGGGGTGGTATGTGAGCCACTTGTAAGATTAGCACTCCATCCACTAGACCATACTACCTTACATGTTATATTGTATATGGCGATATGTATGAAAGTAACTTGGTGAAGTAGATAGAGTGCCTTGGAGTTAGAAAGACTTGAGTTTGAATCCCGCTTTAGACAATTGCTAGCTGTGTGACCCCAGGCAAGTCACTTAACATTGCTGTACCTCAGTTTTGTCATCTGAAAAATGGAGATAATAGTAGCACCCACCTTACAAAGCTGTTATATTAGATCAAAGGAAGTAATATACATCAATCGCTTTATAAATCTTAAAGTTCTATGTAAATGTTAGCTATGATTATCATTCAATGAATCAACAAGCATTATTAAGCACCAACTATATTTCTTTATGTTGACTAGTGATTATTACTCTAATGGATATATTACTTATTCATTGATGATATAAGGGGCTACAAATCCCTAAATGTTCTTCTGATTTCAGAACAAGTTAATCCAGCTTTAATTTTATATGGCTGTTTTATCGCTGATATAGTAGAAGAAATATTTCTTTGTAATGTGGCCTGGGAATCTGGGGACCTGGGGTCTAGCCCAGGCTCTTCAGCATAATAGCTGTGTGATCTTGGGCAGGTCACTGAGACTCCCTGGGTCTCAGTTTCCTCATTTGTAAAATGGGGGGGGGAGTGGATCAAGTAATCTCTCCAGTCCTTTCCAGCTCTAACATTCTATTCTTCTTCTTGGGTGAAGTAACATTCCTACCTTGGGGCCAGACTGACCCCTCCCAAACCACAATGTATGCTCTAATTCAGAAACCCCATACCCTGTGGCTCTGCAGCTTGCCAATTCTCACAGGGTTCACAGAAATATTTGTTTTTCTCTCAGTGCTAGGCCTGGGTCAAAGAGAACCCTGGGGGAGGGGGGACACAATGGTTGACACTCTGAACATAGTCATATTTTCCCTCCTTGATTTTCCCTATTCCTCCTTTACCCTACAATGGCTCTGTGGAGAGCTTCTGGCTCTTAAGTCTTCCTGGGGGCAAAAGAGAGGTTCCCTTCACATGGAAAGCCATGCTCACCGGGTAATCAAGTGATGTTGGCAATATTAAGGAAGAGAATGGCAGCACATGAAGAGACAATGCCTTTCCTCGAACTTTTTCCCTCACCTCCCCCTCTAAGAAGACCTAGTTTCCTTTTAGACTAGAGATTCTTAACCCACGGTCCCCATGGATTTCACAGGGTCCATGAACTTGGATGGGGAAAAAAACCACATCTTTATTTCAATATGACTGATTTACTTTTTTGTCTTATGGATTTTCTTTTATGCATTTGAAAGCATGATTCTGAGAAAGGACCACAGGCTTCACTAGCTGCCAAAGGGGTCCAAGACACACCAAAAAAAGGTTTAGAACCCCTGCTCTAGGCTCATCTCAAACCCAGCCTTCTATCAGAAGCCTTTGCTGCTCTGCCCCATCAGCTAGTGCTTCCTTCCACCCACCCCCATCATATTTATTTCATATATACCTATATGTGCACATGCTGTCTTCACTAATAGAATGTAAGCTTCTTTTTTTTCAAAAAAAGTATTTTATTTTTCCAATTACATGTAAAGACAATCTTTAACATTCATTTTTTTATAAAATCTTGAGTTATAAATTTTCTCGCTCCTTCCCTAAGATGGTAAGCAATTTGATATGGGTTATATATGTACAGTCATGCAAAATATATTTCCATATTAGTCATGCTTTAAAAGAAACAGACCAAAAGGGGAAAAAATGGAAAAAATGTGCTTCAACCTGCATTAAGATTCCATCAATTCTTTCTCTGGATGCGGATAGTATTTTCCATCATGAGTCTTTTGGAATTGTCTCTGATCATTGTATTGCTGAGATGAGCTAAGTCAGTCATAGTTGATCATTACACAATGTTGCTGTCTAGAATGTAAGCTTCTTGAGGGCAGATGCTGTTTCATTTTTGTTTTTGTATACCTTGGGCCTGACACAGAGTAGACACTTACCAAGTGCTTGTTAATTAATTGATTAATGGATATGCTCAGGACAACAGACCTCACATTCGCTCTTTGCCTTTCTCTTATGCAACCCTTTGAGACCCTCTCTATTACTGATTTGTTGATTGAGGCCCTCTGGGTTTTGCAGTGGAAGTGCCTTGCACTCAGTACTGTTATATTCCCTTAGTCTGGGCACTGAGGGAGGGACTTCCTCTATTTACAGTAGCCGGGGGCTTCTCTTTCCCAGTTTTCCAAGTGTGAGTTTTTGTATCTTCATGTTCTTCTACAGTCCTTGGGACAATCATAGGACAAGTGGTCCATCTGTCTGCAACCTGTGGAGAGCAGATTCATAGGATCATAAATCTAGAGGGAGAAGACACTTCAGAGGCCTTCTATTCCATTCCCCACCTCATTTCACAAACAGGGAAACAGGCCCAGGAAAGTTAAGTTGATTGCCTAAGGTGACACAGATTACTGTTGCTGAGTCATTTTCCAGTCATGTCCAACTCTTCATGACCCCATTTGAGGTTTTCTTGGCAAAGATCCTAGAGTGGTTTGCCACTTCCTTCTCTAGCTCATTTTGCAGATGAGGAAACTGAGGCAAACAGGGTGAAGTGACTTGCCCAGAGTCACACAGCTAGGAAGTGTCTGAGGCCAGATTTGAATTCTGGAAGATGAGTCTTCCTGACTCCAGGCTCAGCACTCTATCCATTAGGCCACATAGCTGGCCAAGGTCACACAGGTACTAAATATCAAAAGGAGGATTTAAACCTGAGGTCTCAGACTCCAGAACCAGGGCTCTTTCCACTGAACCACATTGCCTCCCATGACTCTGGTGTAGGCCTGTCAATCTGTGTTCATCTCTTGGGGGAGGGGTGGAAGCTAGGGACCAGGTAGAGTGGGTCAAGAATGCCTGCACACGTAGGAAGTTGATTATCTATTTCTGAGGCTTTTCCAGTGGAACTGTGGAAGATACCCCCACCTGAGAAGCAAGCAGCTGCGGCTTCCTTAACTAATCTACTGACCCCAGATGACCACAGGACACAGATTTCACAAAGCGCATTTCACTCTTGACTACCCAAGTGCTAAAGAACCAGAGTATGGATTATTTACACTCTAAAATTCCTTCTACCTCCTGCTTCCCTTATTTGACTGTTCTAACTCATTAGCCTTCTAACTGGCAATTTAGGGGCAAATAAGGCAGGAAAAACTTGAAGCAGTCATTTTTGCTTCTTGGAAATAGTGCTAGGGAAAGGGTTGATTGGAGTGTAGGGTAAAACTGTTGACTAAAGAAAGGTTTTCAGGATATCTGTGAACTTATATTAACCAGCTAGCTTCTGCGCCTAGATAATTGAGAGTTAGCTGTATTCAGTTGTTCTGTGTCTAGTTTTCAGCAAGCCCAGATATTTTTATTCTTGGTAATAACTTTGAATAGTA